TATAGATAAAAGTGTAATGAGATCCGGGCCATTAATAAAAGTTCGTTCTTTTCAGAAAGATTGTTCTCATGTGTACTAACCGGTCATTCGTCGCATACCGATTTACCCGGTTAGATGTCTAATCGAATTGGACAACGCAAAAAAAAAAAAAAAAGAAAAGAAGAAAAGAGACCGGTCTGACCGATCCTATACCTCATCCGTACTGACGCGGGAGTTAAAAACATTTTGGCTTAACTAGTGGGAGAGCATCCCGGCTGGTAAAGCCAGATGTTTGGACGAAAAATTTAAGGTCAGCCTTAAAAGAGCCCGGGCAGTTGCTTAACCTTTCGAATAAGGTCAAGTTGACACGCCAGCGAGGGTAATACCAAACCGGGAAGAAGTTTATAAATTTAAAGTCTTCCCGGCTGATTATCCAACCTTTCGAAAAGACTTGGGTAAAATTGTATTCTAAGCCGGGTAGTTACAGCCGGGCTGTTATCTACTAATCTAAACGGTTGAAGAAACCAAGTTAAAAAAAAATTTTATGAGACAAAAAAAATAATAAAGCACTCAGCACATGATGTAGAAAATATTTTCATTAATATTTCAGTCTTACAAAAGTGCCCGGAGGCAGATCATTACATCATAAGATAAAAAAAAAAGAAAGAAGAAGGTCGGATGGATCAGATGCCTGGGAAGGGAGGTTCAGGTGCCTCGCTATGCAGCTCGTGCAGAGATAGAGCCTTCGGTCGAAAGCCTTGAATCCGCTGCTCAAGGATGCCGTAGAGGGCCTTCCGCTCAGAGCACTGGCCACTTTCGTAGCCATAAGTCCCAATCTCGTCCACAATGCCAGCCGAAACTGGGTGCTTATACAGACCTTGGAAGAAGCGGATTGCTGTCTCTCGGTCAGGAAGCGCCTTAGCGGCGAACTCCTCAGGCGCTTGGGCAGCCCAGGCAGCGGCTACGGCAGCCCGCTCCGATTGCTCTTTCTCCAACTCATCGCTCAAACGGGCGATCTCCTCAGCTGACCGGGCATTGTCGGCCTCCAGCTGTTGGATCTTGGCCTGGGCCTGCTCATCGGCCTCTTTCGCGGCCTTGAGAAGTCCGTCGTGTTTGGCGTAAAGCTGACGGTAGACCGTGCAGTGCTCCAGCCACTTCGCCTCCGTCTTCTCCGCGTATTCGCGGGCGGCCTGAGCATCCTTCCGGCATTGGACAATCATGGCCTCCATCCAGGCCTTCTCCTCATCCGCCGACTTCATCAGCCGGGCGAAGTACTCCTCCCCGATCCGGCCGACCTGCTTTAAAGACATGGAAAGTTTTTCAGACAAAAAAAAAACAAAACAAACAAAAACAATAAGGAAAGGGGGGTTACCTCAGACAGGTCGGCACGAAAAGCTTGGAAAAGCTCTTCGTTTGACCGGTTCATCAAGAGTGGAGACCGGGGCACTATGGGTCCTTTGCCACCGTCGGAGGACTGGGGCCCTTGGTGAGCAGGCTGGTTGACCTCTTCAGTCCTCTGCCTCTTTCGTTGAAGAGCCTCCTCAGCGGCCTCTTCCTCAGCTTCGACCTCCTCATTGGGCTGGCCTCCCCTCCCAGCCTGGGATGTGTGCCCGGTCTCTCCCATCAGGGTGTCGAACTCGAAGGTATCTACATTTATGTAGAGATCCCCCGAGTGAATCGGCTGGTTGGTTCCCTGATGCGATTGGGTGGGTTGCTCCTCTAGGGAGAAGGGCTGGCCGGATGGAGGGTTGAGTGGCTGAGCGGTGGAGGGCTCCTCAACCACTATCTGTGGGATGGGAAACTTGGACTGGAATTTCACCACTGAAACGGAAAAGAAACCGGTTAGAAGAAAGGAGTTGCGAATAAATTAAAAAAAAAAGAGAGAAGGGCGGTTGATTGACCTTTCTCCTTCTTCTTCTTCGCCGGGCGTGAAGGACCGGCAGCGGCTGTGGCCTGGGCTTTGGATCCCATCGCCCGGCGGATGGGGATGGCTTCGGGGATCGTCCCGGGCAGAACAATCTCCGGCTCGGGGTCGGTCTCCCGGCCGGGGTAGACGCTCCACTTCCCGACGTGGTACTGACCGCGAGTGGAGGCGTCCCCGGCCCGGAGAGTGGCTTCCCAAGTAGCCAGGTCATCGGCCTCCACAGGTTTGACCTGACGCCTCATTCTCTTCCCCCAGACATTTTGGGCGAAAGGAAAAGAAGCCGGGGGGGAACTTGATGGACACGTATTTGTCCTTCCACTTCTTGTTAGAAGGTGGAAGGCCACAGAGGAATGCCCGGCCTTGGTGAGAAGACACCACCACGAATCCAAGAGTTTCTTTGGATCCGGGCCGGACATCGAACATGTGATCGAAGAGACGAAGGGAGAGAGGAATACGGAGAAACCGGCAGACGTTGATGAAACTGGCCAGCAAACGGTGACCATTTGGGGCCAATTGCCCGGGCATGATCCCGTAGGTCTCAAGGAAAAGGACTTTGAATGGGTGAATAGAGAATTCACCCAAGTCCTTGATTGAATGGTAATGGATACCAATCGACGTACCGATGTGGAGAGGTATGATGCTCTTCCAGGTTGCCCGGTATGTCAATTGGTACCCATCAGGCATCAGATTACGCAGTTCGTGGACTTGGGGCTTCTGCATGTACGATGGTTGCTCTTGGAGCAACCGGTCGTCTAGCTGGATGAAGCCCTCGTCCCCGATCTGGGCAACCGAGACCACTTGCGCCACGGGAGAAGGAGGAGCGCAAGTGGAAGCATCAACCGGCTTCTTCTGTGGAGAAGTAGCCGGGCGCTCGGAATCAGAGGATGATGAAGAAGAAGAGGAACCAAATGTTGGAGACCGGCCACCAGAACCGTACGAGTGGACGGAAGGGTTCTGGCTATCTTCACGGTCTGACATGACTCAGAAAAGGATGGAAAGACTTACTTGGAAACGATTGGAAGACTCGGAGGACTCAGAAATAGCAGAAGAAGCCGGGCAGTTTTTTGAATCGAAGATTTGCAAGTGAAGAAATTCCAAGGAGAACGACGCTTTATATAGGAGAGATGCCGCCCAGACGGACGAATAAGGAAATGACACGTGGCAGCGGAAATGATTTGCCATCATAACCTCTCGGGGAGACGAAACGGCACATTAAATTGGCGGCTCTGTACCCGATTTCGAGAAGATTCTCCCGCCTTGGACGCCCGGTTTTTGAAAATTCAAAAATCAAATTTCAAATTTCAAATGTTTTGGGTTAGGCGCTGGTTTTCCGAGGCCATTTTCCCGCCAAAAAGCGACTGGGCAGTTCAAATTTCAAAAGATAATCGCATGTGCTTCCCGCTCCTGATGGTCCCCACAGGATCGGGAATCGGAGGACTCCTTGATGGGTAATAACCCATGGATACCACCCGGTTGGTTCGCCTGACTGGGTGGTGACAGGAGATGGCAGATCATGTCCTTCGGAGACCGGGTCGGGAGACCGGTTGGCTGGAGGGAATGAGCACACGACACCTGCAGAAAGATTCTCGAAGTACTCTTATGCGACCGGTCAGACAAATGACCGGTTGGATAACCAGAGACGTGCTTGACGTGCTTAATTATGTTATAAGTACCCCTAAAATCCTCATTTGTGAGGTATGTTCTAATTAACCTACACGGCTTGTATTTGTAATAGTCCCAACAATTATCAATAACAAACCGGGTTACAGGTGCTCCCACCTACAGCCCTTCCGACTACTTTTACTTGGTATTTGCGTGGTAATTTACACCATCATACACCAACACAAAATGTTGGTGCAAAACTACGGGATACATATTGGAGTACAAAACATGGGGTACACATAGGATACTCATACTCCTTTTTTTTTCTTCCTTTTACCAAAGGTTTGATTTTAAGTCACCACGGGGAAGACTAGATGACAGAAAGAGTTTTCTTTGATTGATTGAAGTTCTAGAGGAGATGGTTGCCGGGTGCCCGGTATCGTCGGCATACTGTAAACACGATTTCATCAACCATTCATACAGATCAGACAGAGAGTGAAGAATTTAGATCTGAAAGTCAACCAAGAAGAGAGACGTATCACGTTTGCATGCATGAATTGTAACATATCATTTTTGCAATTTGATCTTATCCGAAAATAAAAGCTCTCATCTGGTCACTTTCGTTCCCATCCCGAACAGAGAGAGCCGTGACAGAATTCCTCACTCCAAAACCGACATTGTTGTGGAAACTGAGACAGGTGGTTAACATGCAGCAGCAGCAGCTCCACTTCCGCCTCCAGATTTGGAATCCCGCTCACTTGTATTCGGAGTATTTATCTTTCCATTCCCTTCCTGAAGACATTTCGAATCAATCCCCCTCTTCTCCAATTCGAACAAGAAAACCCTAGTTCTCCCATCCGCAGGTATATTTCTTCTTCTTCTTCGGTTTATTTTTCATTATTACTAGTATATCATAATAACAATGAGTAGAATTCGAAGATCATTGAATGGATCTGTTTTTATTGTTCATCATCTGCCTGATGTGAAAACAGGTAGAGAAAGTGGCCATTCTGTTTTTCTCTATTCGAATGAATATGTAATTATTGTTCGTGATACGCTTGATGTGAAAACAGGTAGAATTTGAAGATCATTGACTGAATCTGTATTTGTTGTTCAGGATACGCTTGATGTGATATAAAACAGGTAGAATTGGAAGATCATTGAATGAATCTGTATTTGTTGTTCCAGATCTGCTTTATGTGATCGAAAACAGGTAGAGTGGAGATGAACACTTGTTAAGTGGCCATTCGGTTTTTCTCTATTCCTCTCAGCTTTTTGAAATTGATCACTTCAACTTCATCATCTTCCTACAAGCTCCTGCCTTTTATTTTTCTTAATCTCCTTCTCTTTATCGTATTGGTGTTAGGTTTTGCGACACCATAAGCTGATAAGCGAATATGAATCTTAAAATTGCATCACCACCCTTGCAATGTCCTTACATTATTATGCCTAAAGCCTCATCTTCAAAGAACCCTAGCAGAACAGATCAAATCATTGTTCTTGGATCTTTGTTTCTCAATCCCGTTAGAGGAACCAATCTCTTAACTATAAGAAGAAATTGCGGTGTAAATCTTTATGGAAGAGAGATGGGAGATGAACCATTTGAAATTAGGGAAGGATTAGCTGAAGAGTTCAACATACACGGTGAGGAAAAGACAGCCGGTTCAAATATGAAAAATGATGGGTGTTGTGTGATATTTGAGAGGAATCCAACTACAAGCAGATATAGGGAAAACTATTTGAAATTTCCTTCAAAAACTGATTTGTTGGATCCTGCGATGCTCGGGATCCAACCCGATCCTCCGAATTGGCCCGAAAGGCAATCGGTTATTAATTTGAGTATTGAACATAAAGCTAAGAGTTTTATGCTTCCGTTATCTTTGAGATTGATAAAGAAGAAGCTGCAATGGGAAGTGAGGGATTTGGGAGAGTCATCATCTTCTTGTTCATTTGGAAATGCTTTCTCTTCAATGGTATCCATCATCGTGGAACTACAGACCTATGCATTGAAGATGATGGAAGTGTTGTGGGACAAAGATTTGGAATCCATTATCACTAAAGCTCAACGAGATATCCGTTCAACATACATATGGATATTTCAACGCGTGTTCTCCCAAACACCGGCTTTGATGCTTTATGTTATGATATTTTTAGCAAATTTCAGTCTATATTCTGGGTTCCACAACGCCGCAGTTGCAGAAACTTTGTTATCGAGACCCGTATGTTCTTGTGTCATTGCAGAGGAAGAACTGACAAGAACTAAAACTGATATAGAACTATGGAACTCTTTTATGAAAGAAGCAAAAAAGATGAGAAGTTTGGATGAGTCAGGACTTGGTGATCATCAGGTGATGGAGAGGCTTGTTGCACCAATTTCAGTGCAGGTAGAATCAGACCGGTTTGTGGACTACTTCAGAACGGATTTTATGTACCAGGTTATGCTGTCTCACGATCCCTGTAACACACTTTTGCTATGCAATTATGCACGATTTCTGCAGCTTGTGGCACGGGATTATGACAGGTAACTTTTCTGTTTCATGCTCATTGTTACATGCTCGTGTTTAACCACTTCTCAATTTCTGTTGATTTTTAGGCATTTAATTCAATAATTTGGAGTTTTGAAGCTTTGGAAACCATATGCACACCAATGCAAGACTTAGGTATTCGATACTGTAATGTGGGTTCTATGTGGTCAGCCCTCTCTAAATTGTACCCCGAAGTATTTGTTAGTGGTGGACATAGGTTCCCCACACCCTACTTTTGTGGGGTTCAACTGGATTGTTGTTGTTGTTGTTGTTGTATAGTGATCGACATAAGTGGATTAGATGTTGAAAATAGTTTATTCATATAAATTCTAATAAAGTATTTGAGAGTTTACAATGAATCATATGCATTGAAAAAAAATACAAATTGTACATTGCATATCCAAATTCATTTGACCTCTTTGTTTCAGCTGACTTCTCATGTGACTTCGCATTGTTGGTACTTATAACTATACATACAAATGCGTAAATAGATCAGATATGTTGCGAGTCAGGACCTAGCTCCACAACTGCGACGGACCATAGTCTTTTTGGTTATGTTTGAGATTTAGCTATGGTTTTGACACTTTTTACCTTAGTTGTTTACACAAAAAGTTCAGTGACACTCTCTCTGTACCTTTACTTTTTCCTTGTTTGGTTGTCTCAAGTAAACTCTCCCTTTCTTTTTAAGAAAACACTCATTGTTTGGTTGATATGTTGTGAGGAAGCTGTAGTTAGCTATTAACAGCTTAAATGTGTAATTGTGTAAAATGACATATATGAAAAAAAAAGGAGAGAGATGCTAAAGCCTTTACCAACAAGGACATTTCTTAATGGGAAACAAGATTTCTAATAAAATGCACCATCAATTACCAGCTCAAAAAGCTTCAAATCGAAGCTTGGTGAAATGCTAATTCAGACTCAAGAAACTAAAAGCTCTCTAATAGACGCTTCACCAAACTATGCATTTATTCATTGTTGCTGATTTCTATGTGCAATGCCCTATTATCGTAACAGCAAACCAGTGCTCTATTAATGTGATCTTGTTTTTATAGCAATATGTAAACACATATATTTTGTTACCGTTGTCGTTGGGTATATATGTACATGTATATACATGTGAAAAAAACAGGGCAGAAGAGTTGTACAAATGGGCCTTGCAAGTGGAACCAGCGGATGCAGAGGTTCTAAGCCATTACGCGGCCTTTTTATGGACAGTGAGGAAGGAGTCAGGCAGGGCAGAAGAAATGTACCTACAAGCCATAGCCGTTGAGCCGGGGAATCCCTATTATGCATCTCAGTATGCCAGTTTCCTGTGGAGTAGCAGTGGGGAGGAATGCTGGGGCTCTCATATGAACGCATCATCACTGTCATGATAGCGGCGCGGCTGTGTTCTTGATGCTGGGGCTCATACTGAATGGCTTTAGCATCATCAATGTGGTGAGTTTATAGGAATGATGTAAAATACTGTATCAGAAATCAGAATGTTGCAAGTGTAAATCATATACGGTGTATGTTGTGTTATGATTTAAAACCATATGTTTTATATCATTGCAGACAAAGTTTAGTTGAAGGGGTATGAATCTATTGGTTTTACTTGTTTCTTATGCCCATAAAAAACACGAGTAAAACGACAACAGAAAGGAAAGTAGCACGAATAAATGACTGCCCGGTCACTGCAGTGCTAGACATTCAGACGTTGTTTCTATTTAAGGTAATGTTTTCGATGAGATTTTGGAGTTGTGAGTCGTCTACTGCTTTCATTTCAACTCTCCTTGGGTACGTCTTCACTATTTTTCACACCCCTACATTGAGCCTCTCGCACCTCTTCCCTAAGCATCTATACTTCTCACCATGTATGCAACCATTTCAAAATAATTTCTCACAATTTATCTTCCACATAAGCCGTAGTCGTTATCTCCGAATATCAGTGTTCAGGATCTTATTCATCCTAATATGATCACACATTCACTTTAGCATCCCAACTCTTTAACTCGTAGCCTGCGAAAGCAAGCATCCTTCACCCCTTGTACTCTGCGCGTGTGTACCATATAAGATAATCGGCTTGAACACTATCTAATAAAATTGTTATATTAGATTGTCAATATTATGGGCAACGTCCCGTACGATTTAAACAAGTTTTTACTCTGTCAATATTATGGGCACCCCCATTTACCTCCACATTAAGCTGAATGGTTGATCTAGGCATGCTTGGGTATCAAATTTTGTTCCTTTCAGGTATTAAATGTGAAGTGATCCTCACTTTTACTTCCGACTTACTCATCCTATGACTAAAGTAACACTTCACAGACTTGGATCCTTTGTCCACATCCATGGGCACATGGATGGGCATGTTACCCTTCATATTGGTGCCAATGTGACAATGCAAAATACAAAGAAATGAATTTTTTTTCAAAAAAGCGTTAATGAGTAGGAATTGAAATATACACTAGATCTCTTCAGTGACACTGCATCATATTTTGACGGTGTAATTCTAATGTAAACGACTATTTTAATAAAATATGAATGAAAATATAATTGTACACAATTACATCAACTTTTAATTACTAATGTATTCAAATGATCTCTAAAGTATTATTAGGTGCACACTAAGTGCATCTAAGATAACATGAACCTCCTCATGTCAGAAGTCTCACATAAGTTCTATAAATTTAATTAAAGTCTATGGTTTCAGCAATGCATTACTCTTAGAAATTAATTCAGTCTTTTCAACTTACTTTCAATTTATTCAATACTTTCAATTGTAAGTATAATTAATTTTCAATTAAGTTTAATCTAGTTTCGTTCTAAAAGTTTCAGTAAAAAGAAACTAAGGTAAAGAAACTAGACACCTTCAACACTTAAGATTCTCTTTGAGATGTTTTGAGTTTGAGTCATTGTGGAAGCAAAATTGAAGAGTTTCCATAAACAAATCTCTCGTTTCTTGAATTAGCTCTTTTATCGGATCAATTATATATGATTCATTTCTAGCGGTAGTGTGGGAGCTTGGATCTATTAAAAATACGATTGAGAACTTGATGCAGAGTAAAGAAGGAACCGGCGTGACACTTATTGATCAGTCAAAAACTGATCAATAAGTATCTGATGAGTCATTGTGAACAAAAGTATACAAGTTACATAGGAACCACAAGAATAAAAGAATCCAAATTTACCTCTCTACACTTCTTTGGGTGGAGTCTTAAAAAACTTAGGATTTATCTAATGTATCAAAAAAAACTTGACACCTCTTCTAAAATTATTTTCTCTATCTATGAATGGATTTGACATGTTATCAAAAGATAGGGCTTTGAATATTAATTCATATAGTAGGCTCAACATAGGCCCGTCCAAACACAATCACATCTTCAGCCCATCCAAATTTGGGGAAGGTGAATTTCAAGTTTGAGAATTAATAGAGAATTAGAGCAAAGAATCTGGGATTTGGAGTGGAGTCCAAACTTTCAAAATTCTTCTTCATAAAGCATAAGAACAAATCGGATCGAAGAAGAAGGGTGAATAAGGATATGGACGTCATAAAATCGCAACAAATTTCATCTCGGCCGATCGAGAAGGTGGTCGTCCACCCGCTGGTTCTCCTCAGCGTCGTCGATCACTACAACCGCGTCGCTCGCGACACTAAGAAGCGCGTCGTCGGCGTCTTGCTCGGAAGTTCATCAAGAGGCACCGTCGATGTTACCAACAGCTACGCAGGTCAAGATCTGATGCGTCTTTTTCCCGACTCTATTTTTTGTAATTGTGATTTGTTTTTTGCTCGTGAGATTGGACGGTTGTTACTATTAAAGTCTATAGGAGGACTGGGATTGAATATCAATGGAATTCTTCGATAGTGAAGCTCCAATGCTTGAATATCTAAATTAGGTGGCTGTCTTGGAAGTGTAGGAATATTTTTTTTTATGGAGCACCGAACCCTAATTGCAGATTTTGTACTTGGGGAGCTGCTGCAAGTGTCACGCCTGGGTTTTTATAGCTTCCATTGCTAGTAGAGCTAAAGGAGTCTTTTTTCTATTAGGTCTTAGCTTTGGGTAAATTATTTTCCAAATCAAAATGGTATATTGAGCCTCCCCGGCCTCTTACTTCATAGGGAGTATGAACATTTGGGCATTAAATGCATCAATGCATATAGGGTCTAATGAACCGCCTCTCTGTTTTTACAGAGGCAAAGGTTGTGTACATCTTGGCCCCGGACTCCAATGGAGTTGGGATTTACTGGGGTTTTTATTATTGTTGTTCGTGTGTGTTAAAACGTCTTACTAAATGACTATGATTATAAAGCTGGGGATTTTTTTCTGCACTTGGATATATTATCACTTCTAAACACCTGCTTGTATATGCAGTTCCCTTTGAAGAAGATGACAAGGATCCTAGCATCTGGTTCCTTGACCATGACTACCATGGATCAATGCTTTCCATGTTCCGGAGAATAAATGGTATCACAATAGTTTTTGTTCTAAAGTTTAGAGGTATGTGTCCATTTCATAGTAAATCGTTGTGTTCATCTTTCATTTTGTTTCAGCCAAGGAGCATGTTGTTGGCTGGTATAGTACTGGTCCAAAACTACGTGAAAATGACCTTAACATCCATGCACTCTTCAATGAGTAAGTGTTTTGTTGCTAATTTTTTCAGTGACTGAATAGTGTATATAGAAAATTTAGGTTTGCCTGTTTGAAACATATTTAGTTGTGGTACACACATGGGGTTCCCGGTTCTTTTAGTTATGAGAAATGCAACTTTTACTTGAGCTCTAGA